AAAAAAAAAAAAAAAACAGCGAAAGAAATGTCGCTACATTTGAACGTGGACTCGCGATGAAGCCCGGCAAGATTTAAAGGCAAAGCGTGAACGGAACTCGATGTACCTTGATATCTCTATGGCCGATCTCGAAGCATTGTGTTAACGTATGCGAACAAATCGATGAGATTAAGAAGAGTGAACCAGATAAAAATGGTGGCTGGTACGTAGACAACCGTCTTCAATCGGCAACGTTTTACTCGCGACACGCGTGTTTCGTTAATGGAGTCGCGATCTCGATAAAGACCACACGAAAGTTCGATTACGAGACTGAAGCGAAATACGAGGAATACACGTATAAGCGTTATGCTCGGCCAACAAACGCGAAACACCCTGATAAGCCGACGATACCGGCGAACGACACCGATAGTTCTCGAGTAAAGGTGAAAGGAAACTGGATTTAAGCATATACGGAATGAAACCGGTTTCAATGCACGAACCACGAGAAGGAAGCATTTTCCTTCGAATGGAAAATCAGCGTGGAATCCGCGAGATTCTAGCATCTGGCGAATCTCTCGCAGAGAACGTAATTAGGAACAGAAAAGGTACACGACGATGATCACGATGGAATATTTCGCTAATGGAGTTATATATGTTATGGGAATCGTAAAATTTGGCTGATTTCTAGTAATAGAAGAAATTTTATTGTTCAAAGAGATAACAATATGTTCGGTTATTTTCTATACCTATCACGAGAATATTTGATTATTATTAAAAACTGTTATTTTAACTTGATACTTATTAACTTGATTAATTATTAGATTGTTATTAATTATTATAATTATTAGTTATTAGATATTTGTTAACTCGATATTTATTATTAAAAACTTTTAATATAATTATATGATATTGTATATTTTATATAAAAGGTTTTAAAATTTCATTAGCACTGTAGTAAAACACGATTATCATTATTATATTGGTAAAATTTGAAGCCAAAGGAGAAATTAGTATACAATATGAACAAGTTTCAACAACATCAGTAAACCAGTATCTCACTGAATATTAAGGTTCATTAATATGATAATTGACTTTCGATTTGTTTCAAATTTTATCAATATAACATTTCGTATTATTTATATTTACAATATTTTGTATTATTAACATTTTGTACAAAATTTACAAAAAGTAAAGTAATCTATAAATGCACGCGAAGAGTGCATCATTAACCTTCGCATTAAGGACAATGTAATAGTGCATAAATGCCTTAGGTGAGGTTATCCTTATAAAGAGTGTAACAACGAACAAAAATTGATGCGTGTAAGTGAAAAAACTGACGCAGAAGCTGACATACCAATCGTTTTCTGTAGTCCAAGGAAACATCGTGCCCCGCAGTTCGGCGAAGCTGCTTGATGCCTCTCGGTGGCGCCGCAGTGCGCATTTTCCACTTAACCTCACTTCTCTGGTTTTATGGTTAACTCATCATTAAACTCGCGACGAATCGTACGCGGAGCCACACAAATGACTACCGTATGACCGTTCCGCTCAGAAACCTTCGCGGGTTAACGAGCATATTGCGTGCATACGTGACAGCAACAATACGCGTAGTGTTCGTATGCCAGTCATGCGAATAATCGAATGATTTTTCCGCGACGCGCTTTGAAAAGTTGTCCCGCCAGAAATGATAGAACGCGTGCGCGCTCAGTACAGATTACGAACGATTCGAGTCTTTCACCGCGAGGGAATTACATCATATCTGAAAGGTCACTGGTCGGATCGCCACGTTCATTACGATTCACCCACGTAAATTCTTCACTACGAAATTGAATATCTGTCAGATTGTAATAACGCACTGTCGAAAACGAAGTGTGCATTACGTGCACAATAGCGCTTCGATAACTGGCCAGAATTGGAACTAACGACTAAAGAGAAATATCGATAGTTGTAATCGTCGAGTGTTACCAGTAGTTTGACGTCTATATCGATTATTGGTTACCTCGATAGCTGACACTCCATACATTTTTTCAGTCGAGTGAGATCTACGATAAAATTGCTAAATAAAAGCTACAATTGCCAATCTCCAATACAACATGGCGCTAAAATAGAAAACATTTTATATTTAATATATTTAATTATTATTATTTAGTTATTTTATTTAATTGGTCCCTGATCCAATGATCTCTAAATTTCACCTCGATTACACGTATTACAGATTCTTAATGACGCCAGAGACTGTCAAAAATTGATAGGAATAGGAAAATGGTTAGTTAACGAAGCGATACATACTTTACTATATATACTTCACGCGACGAACGTGCACGCGCGAACAGCTGTTAACGTTCACTTCTGCCGCTCAATGGCAGTTCGTTAGGCTTTTTGCACTTTCAACGGCGAGCGATTTCGGCCGCGACAGATAATAAGGCGGTAATTATCGTGGCAGTTCTCGTAAATGTACGACGATAACTGGCTAATAGTCACTGAAGGCACGGCACGACCGACGAAAGTATCGCGGCTGCGCCATACGTTGTCGCACTGTCCACATTCGACGTTCTCGATCTCTCGAAGCGTCTCGAGTGCGATTTCACGTTTACTGGTCGTTTGAAATCTTACCGGCTAGACGAAGCGCAGTGGCGTCTGGGTAAAATATTGCCAGCAACAAATCCGACATGGCGGTGCGTGATAGGAGTCGTGAAATGTGCCGCGTAGCGGGGAGAGGATCTTCGTTGCCGGTCAAAGAGAAGTCATCCTTTCGTATTAGATTTCCATGGTGATTCGAATTGCTCGCTGAATCGAGATACGTTGCTCCGTACGACGACCTCGACTAACAATGTTTTTAAACATACGGACGAGAGAATTTGCGTTTCACGAACATTCGAGCCGGCGTTGCGGTCGCCATCTGCTGGCGTGTCTTTCAATTATACCTGCCGCGCAAATGAATCGGCTGCTGCTCGTTTCTGCTCGAATTTTGCAGGAAACGAACGAGGTAAGGAACGAATGAACATTCTATAATCTGTCTTTCTTACATAAGGTTCAACTAAACTCTGGTATTTCAGCTAAAGGTTTGTCATACAAAGAGAACGGCAACTGTAACAGACAAGCACTTCTTGAATCTGTTTCGTCTCAGCAAACTGATGTCAATTCATTGCACGTACGTATCTTTCATTTCTGACATTATCTAAACACCTAAAACCTTCGATGGCGTGAAGTTAGAATGTATCGTTTTCTTTGCATTTCGTACGTTTACTACGATATTTTGACAGAACAATTTTAAATAACGTGTTCCATGTTTGATCACAGCAACAGAGTAGAAACAAAGTACGGCCATTGAGCCTGTATGATATTAACGGAACATAACCGCGAAAATATCAGCAAAGTATCCATAGGTTAACATCCACCCCTGCTCGCTCGTCGAGAAACCGCGACCGTTATGGCGCCATGAAAAGACGCGTTTCGAGCTAGCTGCGTAATATCGCGTACGCCATTATCATATTTCTGCCTGGGTTGATTCATATCGAATCACAGTTACACGGAGACGGTTTAGTCGTTAGCGGCCCTTTCCTAGAAACCAGGCATTAATATCCGTGGAGACGTTCGCTGGACGGGATCGTACGCCGGCACGCGAATGGCTTTATTTTCGTTAGAAAACGCTGATCGACGTTGTATTCTGTTACGCGGCATGTGTACGCCCACGCGATCACGTAGTTAACACGGCTGTACACGTACAAGACGCCGCCGGCCGTGTATTGGCCCCCGCATTAGCATACACTAAGGAGTGTACAGGAAATGCCGAGGCTTCATACAGTATTTTTCTCCGCAGCTCTGCGTAGATGCCGCGCTGCCACCGCGCCATGCAGAAATTTAATGCAAAGCCAGCAGCATAGTAGCGTCGGAAACGGGTGGACGTGGCTCCCCGTCGTTTCGCCGAGCTACCGGTGCATTTAATGGCGCATGAGACAATTTTTCAAGCACCTAGGAAAGGGGTTCCCCTGCACTACGAGCCTCGCACAGCGGATGATTAATGCCAAGGATATTATCAGCAGGTATTTTCAGTGAATCCTTGTAATTATTGTAATTTAGATACGCGAGGTGTCTAGCGTTGTCAAAACGAATAGTACATGATTTCTTTTAATAATGAATCTTACTGAGAAATAGCATGCTTATATTTTGAAGTTTGTTAGGTGCTATTGTAACAATATTATTAGAGGCAAAATATTATAGATACTGGAGTAATATATTGTTAGAGAAAAGGAATATATTCATGCTCCTTCAATGATATTACAAAGGATGTTTTAAGATAAAATTATTAAATATTAATTAATATACTGAATGATAAATGTCCAAAAATGTATTTATGTTATCTTTGGTAAGTTGGGAAGTATGATTTCGATAAAATGGTCTTTGGAATTTGTACCTTTGCAATATCAACGAAGTTCTTACCTTGTAAAATAATTACATATTTGATTCTAAAGACTGTCGCAATACTTTACTTACTATTTATTAATTTAGAAAAATTAAATTAATCACCAAATTGTTGTTCATAATCCAAAATCAAATACAAAGAGTTACTCGTATAGAACCTTTGAAACACCAGTTTATTAAGAAAAGAAACATTTTAATATGTGTACAACATTTTAATATGTTTGCATACAGTATGTTTGTACAAACATTACAAGTGTACCGCAGATGACTGATGCAAACGTTCGAAGAACGCAAATTCATAAGTTAGAGGCAATATTATGTATATTTCTTTGAAATCGTTGGCTACGCGTATTACACGATGTTCTTGTAATTCCACCTTCGATGCCACTTTTACGCGGAAACGAGCAAACAATTTTCTATACATTCTTGGCATAATGATAGAGTTAACGGGTCGTTATACGAGTCTCGATGCGCCCTCCAGCGAAATTATACTGGTATTAGGCATTTTCCAAAATAATGAAACGATGCGTATGGTCTATTAAGGTTGTAATAATCTCTACAGAATTTAAGCAACAATGTTGCTGTAGCTCTCCCAGCTACTTCTTTCAATTTCATTTTTGTTCTCGATGTAATATCACATTTTAATTTCTGTTGCAGAACGAGGGAGGTAAAAGATGAATACAGTGGTTCATAGGAGTGTTCAATTGGCTTTTATGAATGTATTATTATATATATATTCATATGTTATATCATAATAATACACATACTATCTTATGCAAGTAGTATTTTGAAATTTTACAATCATAATAAAAATCTTTCTACTGGGGCTCTATTTTTTTTATTATATTTTTATTTCAATAAAAATCTACTTATTGTAGTGCTAATGAAATTTCAAAATATTTTGCACAATATATACATTCCTAAGTCTTCAAATACTTTCATGAGCCACTGTAGTTTTATTCTAGATCAGTAATCTTCGTCGACAGATCCATGATTTTCTACCTCTCTGATTATGATAATGCTAGGTTCTCGTGTAAAGGCTTCATTCACCTCGTTCCCATGACGTTTATCTGCGTTCTTATTTCCTAACAAATTAGATCTCCCCGTTTGATTTGTGAACGTGTACGCAGCGTAACGCGTTTGACAGCAAGCGATTTATATCGGGACTCGCCTTGCCTTGTTACGCAGCTGTCTCGTTCTTTTGTATCGCGTAATCGATTCAATCATCCTTCGCGATTTGTTGCGCGTCTTAGATTAAAAGCAATTTTCAATGTCGTTTCCTTTGATCCGATCTTGCGCGCCACTCGTTTCTCCGCAGAACCGGTTGAATCTTGTCGAAGTTGATACTTGTACGAGATAACTATCTCCTGTCTAGCTTAACTACACTTTCCTTGCTTCACCCTTACACGTATAAACTGTTAGAAACAGTTTGTAAGCTGAAAAGATGGCAGTTAACTATGGCTATCTCTAGTTCATTAAATCAATAGATAAGCCCAATTGATCTTCAGCTTTTTACAGAATTATTAACTTCGTAATATCCAAGTATAGAATTATTGTTTGATATTTTAGAAAAGAAATTTACAAGAAGATAGTACGTATAAATAATTGTGTATTCCAAGTTTAAGATATTTCAATGAATATGACTTCTGAGTGACTGATGTAAATACGCACAGATCAAATAATGAATGTACGAAATTGGGAAGATAAGATGATGAAGAGTTAGGCGAATATTCTTCTTGCCTTTGATACGTCTCGGTTGCCATTTTTTCAGCTTCCAATTATACACGTAACTTTCATAGAAACATAAAGTTTTTGCATTACTTGGGAAGATAAGATGATGAAGAGTTAGGCAAATATTCTTCTTGCCTTTGATACGTCTCGGTTGCCATTTTTTCACGTAACTTTACACTTTCATAGAAACATAAAGTTGTTTGCATTACGTGGGGCCACTATTTCTTAACAAGCGTCGAAATTTCTCAATACATTCACAGTTATAAGTTCTAAAACCTCATCCGTATCAGATCAAAAAATGAAATTCGCTCTCTGCCGGTAAATGCATTTAACATAAACAAGATGAATCACGCAGCTGAGCATTATGCAATATGTCTCCGTTACAATCGCGATTGTCGTTTAGATACGTAATCCTGAGCTTGATTGATCACCAAGCAGTCTCGGATCTGCGTGCCTCGAATGCTAGCGAAATAACTGAATTCAGCCGAAGCATCGACGTCTGATTGCCTGGCGTACACCGAGCGACGCTTAACGTCGATCTTGACCGAGAGATCGATCGCCCCTTCGCGCCGATTCTCACCGATCCCCTCGAATCTTCTCGAATTCCAACATACACGAGACATCTTGCGGGAAAGTAAAAGATTCCTCGGGAAATAGAGAATGATTAGTGTCGTCGTAAACGCAGTTATTACGGACGAGATTACTTCGGGGGAGGAATGCAAACGACCATATATATCGGTCACGAACTTGGTTTCTACAGCGATCCTTGTACTGCTCCCTAAGCCTCAAATACCGAGGTCAAACGTGGTTCTGGTAGTAAGGAAGTCGTTCGACTCCGGGATTCTTCGGTGAAATTCCTCGGCACGGCGGAATATCCTCGTCGGGCATTCCACCGGGAGCAAAGAAATGGTCGTTGATCTGAAAAATGATTCGTCCCGAACGAGCGGGATCAAAAGTTTTATCGCGTTACGCTGTTAGATCGCCGGCGAGCGTATCGTCTCGTAGAATTTCTCGCGGATTCCAGCGATTCCATCGCGAGATTCGAACGATCGTCAGGTTCGTGGCTGGCATCATTCTAAATGAACGTCGGGATAAATAGACGATAATCGTATGCGCACTTTCGCTACGGTGAAGAACAATGAGCGGCTTGATGAACGCCTTGACCTAAACCGCCTCGACGTTGCCTGCGCGCCGAGAAAATGTCGATCGGCCTGAGTACCTTCGAGTCAGCCGCATAAATTTTGCCTCGCCTGTCAATGATTTTCTCAGATTATCGCACAGAAACGGGGAAGGAACGACCGTCTTGCTCCTAGTGAATTATCTAAACGTCCGCGATTAAACGAGCGATGAGATATCAACGCGATAGTCAATGCAGAAGCAATAAAGTAGCATACGTGCGATAGTAAATGTAATCTTTGATTAGTCCCTGGTAAATCCACGTTGAAAGTAGCATATTCTAGATTGTCATGCATTTATGAGAAATTTAAAGCTGCACAATGTATGTATCGGAAGAGCTTC